CCAACGTATGTAAATATACATACCGTTATATTAAACTCCAAACATACCAGCGCATTCATGTATCAACAGGTGAGTATGTTCGCATACCCTGATACCCATATGCAATAATGTTCTAGTGTATGAATATACTAAACCACTAAAATGCTAGTATACTTCTACACCGATACTGTAATATACAAGTATACTGGAATATTAATATACTACTATACCAACATATTGTTATACTTTTAAAATATTAGATCAACGTACGAAAAGAGTCGTCTACACATGTGCTAGTATACTAATCTACTATTATATATATGTACGAGTATATCAATATACTAATGTACTCATGCACCTATGAACTAGTATATACATATACTAGTATATAAGCATGCAGAGATACTATTATACTTATATAGTCAAGTATTGTTATATTAACTTGTCTATATACATACGTCTGCTAGTATACTAACATGTGAACACGTGTTCTAATATTAGTACTAATACTAGTGCTTCGAATATTAAACTGATATTAACAGCAGCATTAAGACTGATACCAATACTAATACTAGTATTAATACTAACGCTGACGTTGACACTGGCACTAACACTTATATTACACGAACACTAACAATTAGTTTATACTTACCATTATTGATATGAATAATTTACATATCGAATACGAATGCTAATAGGAATACTAAACCAATGTTGATGCCAAAATTACTACCACAAAACTAATACTAACATTAACACTTGTGCTAGTTGTAAGACTACTACAAGCAAGAATAGTGGTGCCAAGATTAGGGGTAAGAGCAAGCCTGAGTCAAGACTGTGATTGAGACTAAGACTAGGTTTAGGCTGCATGAACGTGTAGAGATTCCCAAAAATTGCAAATGAGTTTCCAGATTCCAACAATTGTTTAACAATTCAAAAATTTCCAACAAGCCCAAAAATTGCAAAATTCCTCACCCCAACCTTCCAAAGTATTCCAAATTTCCAAAAATCTGGACCCTATGTGGCAGAGTCGGTCCATAACGTTAGGGGGAGAAGTATGGAATTTTTGGAAATTTCGAAAAGTTAGGG